ACACACACCCCCCGCCCCCCGGGAGCCAGACGGCTGGGCTCCACTAGCCCGGCTGTGTGACCTGGGCCAGTTACCCCCATGACTCAGTGCCCTGAGCGCACTCATAAACAAGGAAGCCAGTCACCCACCGGCACCAACCAGAAGTGTTAGGACAACGAACCGGGTCTGCACACCAAGTGCTCAGAACAATCCCTGGCTCGCGAGGGCGCTGAGGGCGCGGCCGGGTCCCCTGTGCTTTCGCCCCACTCGCCTCCACTTCCTCTGCTCTCATTCTCAACCCCAGCCCTTTCCCGTGGCCCCTTTTTCCCTTTCCTAGTTTCTCAGGTGGGTGTGAGGGAAGGTGCGAGGCAGGCTGTGGGTTCTAAAACTGGACTCAACGTGTTTTCAGTTGGATATTAAATGTTAAGGGTTTTCAGGGAAGTAGGAAAAGATCCCAGGAGTGGGAGTGGGAGGAAAATGCCGCTGGACTTTGTTTCAAAGCTGTTCAGGCCGAACACCATTTGCTCACCTGGCTGTCATCTCCTGTCCCAAGTAGATCCGGGAAAGGATCTGGGGAGTTATCCACGGTGTCCCTTGAGAGAAACTTTAACCGTGCAGGTGTTGGAACATTCAAGTAGTTGCTAGCGAAGAAGCTACTCTACGCAGGCAGGACCAAGGGCAGGCCTAGGACCGAAGAGACCAGAAACTTTAATTTCAGTTTTAAGCGTACGTAAAATGATTCAATTAACTGCCGGAGGAATTACACCACAGGAAACATATGCAATTGCACAGCACTTTATTACTCACAAAAGTCCCTGATGCTGTGGGTACAGGCTAAACGGGATCCCAGTGGTGCTGTCCTCTGGGGCCCAGCAGCTGGGTTGGGCTGGTCCGGGTGCAGGGGCCGGCGTGCCTCACCCGAGAGCTTGGTCGCTTCTCGATCAGGAGATACTAGCCATTCTTCTGGCGTCTGGCAGAGTGGTGTCACTTGTCAGACTGGCAAAAGGACGTGCCTTTGTGGCTGTCTCGACAGGCGAGCACTGTTGGCGGGTCAGGACCCATTTTTAAAGCCTGTTTCGTACCCGCAGCAGTTCAGGTGGCTATCAATGAATTACGTCAATGCACACATGTTAATCTTAAACAGGGCGAGGGGCTACATGTGGTTACTCTGAGTCAGTAATCGAAGTTCAAATCCTTATCTATGGGGTACACACGCTTCAGGGCAGTGGGGAATGTGTCCTTAATATCACACTTTAAGTTTCAGCAAAGTTAACTCAAACATTTAAAAAACTTTTTTAACATTTTTTAGAAATTTTTAAACTTTTTAAAACATTTCTATATTTTACTACAAATCTCCATAGAGCATTTAGGTGGTTTCCAGTTATGTGGCCATGAAACCTACAATTCCAAAAAAAATTAATTAGAAGTCTCATCTGGCTCATATATGTTTTCTCCTCTCTTCATAGTAGACTGCAGATCCCCAGGGCAGGGGCGCTGCCCATGCGAGTCCCTGGCAGCATCTCTCAGAGAACAGACACCAACACTGCGGGTTCCTCAATAGGCCTGATGGCTCTGGGGGGCACTGTAAGTCTCCCCCTGCCTCCCTCTGCCCTCTGTTTATCTTATCCCATGGTGCAGTCTAGACACAGGAAATACCTTTATATATATACTAGAGGCCCGGTGCTCAGTCCATATGTCTTGAAAGGGTTGGCTACTGCTACTTCCACTTCCTTTAGCATTCAATCTTGCTTTTTTAATTTTTTGATTCTCCATCACAAGACTGCAAAAATAAATAAATAAAAATCACGGCATTTTTTATAAAAGGTTGATAGGTTTCTTACCTATTAACTTTTTGCAGTGTTGTAG